GAAGTGCCCGCTCCAGCTACCAACTCTGGCTACCCCGGATTCATTCGTCGGATTCCAAGAGAAAAACGCACAAGGCAATCCGGCGGTAGCTTAAGCTTAAGGAGGTATGGGACTGTTAATCAGGGGGGAAAGGGGAATCAGATGGTACCTACTTTATCGACATTTTTACAATTTACATTTGGCAGCAACGCAAAATTTATAAGTATGCGTATAACCTCGAATATGGCACGTTATAGGTAAAAGGGCAAATTTGTGACAAAAAAACAATATGAACACAAAGTAAAATGTTCAGAAATTGGAAAAAGAAACCAAACAATGTCTAGTAATTCTAGTAAAGCTTTACAAGAGGAATATCCAGTAAATGGTAATCGAATAATAAATTTGAAACACATGGCTAATAATATGAAATGTTCGAAGTGTAAAAACTCGGTATTACTTCAAAATATTGTAGAAAAAGGATGTAACACTGGATGTTGATTTGTTGGTTCTAAAAGTAAAGAGCCAATCACGTTCGAGTGCTACAAGGCAGCTTATTCTGCTGAACAGTACTCTACACAGTAAATGACCAGCTGATCGCACTGTTGCCACGTTTTTTCATGCCTCTAAGAATCGCCGATTTTGATGTTTTAACAGGTATTTACGTTTTTAATTGCATGGAAAGATGCTTTCATCTTTTGCACAGTGATTTTTAAATTGTTAATCTAGCAGTACAAATTTTTTCAAATGCCTGTGTTATTTTCACCTTACTTTTTTTGTCAGTTAAAATATGAGTCCCATAAGAACCTATGTTAAAAGTCTGAAATTATTGAGTTTTCATCAACGATTTTTTCGGAACTTTCCATAGAAACAACTATTGAAAAAAATTGTAAAGTGTTATTTTATGACTAAGAACAAGATTCTAAAGTTTTAAACACTTTTGTCATTTTTGAAAAACGTCTCAAACCTCCTTAACTGATACTGAAGGAAAAAAGAGCGCACGACAGTATCAGCGGGCAGGACACACACACACGCGATGTATATATATAAAATTATTAAATCTCTCACTCTTCGCTAGTTGTGTCAACGCTTCAACGATGAATGCCGTAGTGCTATTTTGAGCGGTTTAGTTGACACGCTTTTTTCTTTTTCGTACTAATCACGCAGTGGGGAGGAGATATAAACAAGATCAGACTAATACTGAGTTATGTTGTTGTTATGTTTTTTTAAAAAATGATATTTATTATGAACGAAACAAAAACTAAAAGGAATTTAGATTGTAACTGCCTTACAGCTATTTACAATATACATGATATTTTACACGTAATATATCTTGTATATAAATGGTTGGTATAAAATAAACAAACAATAACTATAAAAATAACGAGAGAGAGAGAGAGAGAAAAAAAGAGAAAAAGAGAGAAAGAAAGAGAGAGAGAGAGAGAGAGAGAGAGAAAGAGTTGATCGTTTTCAAGATTTTGTAACGTTTCCGGACTTTTTGAGGACCTTGTATAACTATTATATACAATGTGCATTTTAGAAAAGAAAATTATGAGAATTTTGTTTTTACACTTCAACAATTCGTTTGTACCTATTTTTATATAAAAACAAGTCGCAAATCTATGAATTCGTGAATTTGCAAACAGATTCTGTTTATATCAATAATGGCAATGTTTAATTTTAGAAAAAGTAAGAAGTGTCTTTTCAAAAGATCTTTATTGCTATAGATTATTCTCTATTAATTCTTATGACACAATTATAAGAATTGTAAGATAAATATTTTAATAAATGTGTTTATAGATTGACACATTGGAGGCTGTACGTATAATATATGAAAAACTATTACACAAACGATCCGAGCAAACAAATCCAACTGATTTTTATGATGAAATAATTAAAGCGGCATGGGAAGGATGTAATTCTACAAAACATATGATACCTAAGTGAGTATAATTTCAAGTTGTAGTAGAATAATATAGATTTTTTGGATGATACTTTATTAGGGGTTGCAACCCCGCCAAGCGGGATCCCGCAATCCCGCAAGATCCCGCACTTTTATTTTAATCCTACCGAAGACAATTTAGATATGCGTGATCTTGCGGAATTTGCGGGATTCCACGCACAGTCTGATCAAAGTTAAAATAATGCAAATAAGGGCTTCCGCACAAACTCTTTCGTAGCGCGTTACGTTACGTAAAGTACTGGCTATAAACTTACAAGGGGAGGTCGCAAAATGTGGGTCACCGATTTCAATCAGGTTTTTTTGTATAGTACTGTACCAGAAGAGTACTTGAGCAAAGGGGTAGGACGCACCTCTCAACTATTTTCGAGAAAAATCAATTCAAACTATATAGATTTACTTATATACCGTTTCGTTAGTACGATTTTCCAGAAGCGTGGTGTAGCGCAGGTGCTTAAGTGCCTGATTACTATGCTCGAGACGAGGGTTCAATTCACGTTCTTTTTTTTTGTTTTTTTATGTAATATAACAACGTATAATCGTATATTCATGTAAAATGAAATTAATTTCACCAGTAACTTAATTTTTGTAGTGTGTATTTTTAAAAGGCAATATTTTTCTAAACTTAATTAATACTTTGTTTTACATGTAATAGCGATAAAAATAAAAGTATGCAATAGCACAGTTACCACGTTTCCTAAACGCAGCCAATGCTTATTGTTTTATGCATTTATCAAATAAAATAATATAAAATATAATAATATAATATATAATGAAACAAATACAAAATGAAATAAATAAACTAATAATATAACGATACATAGTCCTTTTCGCAAAACGCGGATATCTCGAGAACCAGAAGAGATAGCTTGAAACTAATTTTGCAGGTACCTTCAATCGGCTACTATGCGATTTATGACAAAGAGTGAAAGTTAACAAATTGAATATTTCAAAAACGGTAAAAGTTAGAGCAAAATGGTTTTTACATCTCAATTCCTATTGGTTAGTTGCAAAATACCACACGGTAAAAGTTTAATAATTTCTATTATTTAAACAATTAATTGTTAATAACTAAAGTTAGAAAGTTCAAACTAGGCTGGTATTTTGCAGTTTGTTGCGCTAAGGATTATGACGCAAACTGTTTTNCTCTATCTCTTTTAGTTTAAAAGTTATTAATTTTGCAACTAACTGTGATGTTGCGTGGTAGCGACTTAGGGGTGATAACTTATCAATCTTTGCGATCTTTGAAACAGGGTTTCGTAGTCGACTGCTTTCTCGATAGCTTCTATTCGTGATAAGATGTCGGCTACAGGGTTTTCCTTGCCCGCGATGTGTTTGATGTCTGTAGTGAATTGGGCGATGAATTCTAGATGCCGAGCTTGCCGGGGTGAGCTGCGTAGCGGATCTTGGTTGAATGCGTATACTAGTGGTTTGTGGTCGGTATACACGGAGAAAGTGCGTCCTTCCAGCATGTGTCTGTAGTGCTTGATGGTTATGTATACAGCCAGCAACTCACGGTCGTATGGACTGTAACGTTGCTGCGCTGTCGTTAGCTTCTTACTCAAGAAAGCTAGTGGTTGCCATGCTGATTCTGTCCTTTGTTGTATTACCGCTCCCACGGCGTTGTCTGACGCGTCCGTTGTTACTGCTAACTCCGCTGTTGGATCCGGATGTGCCAATAATGCTGCTTTTGAGAGGCTCTCTTTGCATCTGGCGAAATCCTCTTCTAATTCTGGCGTCCATTGTACTGGCGTCTTTTTCTTCATTTTCGGGCCTTTTAAAATGTCGGTCAATCTAGCTTGCCCTTCTGCTGCCCCTTGAATAAACCTCCGGTAAAAGTTGATCATCCCCAGGAATTGACGTAATTGCTTGACATTGCTCGGCTTGGGAAACTGTGTGATCGCTTCTACTTTGTCCGGCAGGGGTCTCGTGCCTTCCTTGGAGACTAAATATCCTAGGAATTTGACTTGCTTCTCGCCAAAGACACTTTTGGCTGGGTTAATGGTAACTCCGTATTTGTTTAACCGTTCGAAGACTTCCCGTAAGTGGTTTTCGTGCTCCTCTTCTGATGTGGAGGCTACCAAGATGTCGTCGATGTATGCATAGCAGTAATTTAATCCATGCAATACCTCGTTGATGAACCTTTGAAACGTTTGAGCTGCGTTCCTTAATCCAAACGGCATGTATAGGAACTCGAATAACCCGAATGGCGTGGTTATTGCAGTTTTTGGTACATCAGCTGCGTGCACCGGAATCTGGTTGTAGGCTCGTACTAGGTCGATTGTAAAAAAGATTTCTTTCCCGTGTAGAGTGAAGTCTTCGATGTGTGGAATAGGATAACGATCCGGCACTGTTCTTGAATTTAGTTTGTGGTAGTCTCCGCATGGTCTCCACGCTTCTCCTTTTTTCGGAACCATATGAAGCGGAGCTGCCCANGGGCTCTTTGAAGCCCTGATGATTCCTTCCTGGAGGAGTAGGTCGAACTCTGCTTTAGCTGCCTTGAGCTTATCTGGTGCTAAGCGTCTCGGTCGACATACTTCGGGCTGTCCCGGTGTTGTCGCGATGTGGTGCTCTGTTGCGTGCTTGGTTGGTTTTCGTATCCCTTTTGGTCGCGTTATTCCCGGAAATTGAGAAATAACTTTGTGGTAGCGTGAGTCGTCTCTGATTAACTTGACTGCAACTGTTGCTGCGTAGCTCGTGGTACCGGAGACGTGTAATCCTGTCTTGCCGTCGATTAATCTCTTTTTTGTGACATCCGTCAACAAATGGTAGTAGGCTAAGTAGTCTGCGCCGATGATTGGCTGTTCCACGTCCGCGATAATGAAACGCCATGGGAATGCCCGTCTCAATCCTAGATTCGGTTGAAGTACTGTGATCCCGAATGTCCGTATCTGCGTTCCATTAGCGGCGAATAGCTCGAACGGTTGCATGCTCCAGCTTCCGTGCATCATTCTGCGGGGGTAAATGCTGACGTCGGAGCCGGTGTCGACGAGAAACTTTGATTGTGAGTCTCTGTCCAGGACGTACAGGCGGCGGGTTCCCGGGCTATTGTCACTGGTCGCTCTCAATGACAAACCTCCTCGTTTTTTTGATATGTGCAGGGCTGGGTACATTTCTTGGCTTCTGCGCCGAAACGTCGGTGATAGTAGCAAGTGTCGTTTTTCTTTGTCTGCTCTTGTCGAGATCTATCTCTGGAACGGCTTCTTGCTCTGGCCTGCCTCATCAGCTTGGCTACCTGCTGCGTGAGCACGGCTATCTGCTTGGTCAAGGTTTCTATTGGTCCTGGCTCGGATGTGGATGCTGCGGCGACTGCCGGCTGCGAGGTTGTTGCTATGACAACTGCCCTGTTGTTGACCTCGTGTATCCGGTCTGCCTGTTCTGCTACGCTGCTTAGATTGTCTTCCGTCCTGGTTGCTAGNATGGCTTGCATCGCTGGTGGCAAACGGCCGAGCCACAGGGTGCGCAGAAGATCGTCGGAGACTGCATTGCCGGCCAGGGTGGTTAAATGACGAAGAAACTGCGATGGCTTCCTGTCGCCTAGTTCCTCGTGTTCAAGTAGCTGTCGAATACGCTGCTGCTTNGAGTCTGTCAGGCGCTGCACTAACGCCTGCTTTACTGCTTCATATTTTCTGCTAGCCGGGGGCTGNGTGATGACGTCTTTTATCTCTCGGGCCTGCTTCGGTTCCAGGCGNGATAGTACGTAAGCGTACTTGGCGTGATCGTCCGTGACGTTGCATAAGGCGAACTGCCCCTCCAGCTGCGCGAACCACAACTCCGAGTCCTCTGGCCAAAATGCCGGAATCCGTATGCTCGGTCTGCTGCTCGCTGGTTCTTCATCACTCATGATTGTTGAACTGTCCGTATTTCGCGTCGTCTTTCCTTGCTTCGCCATCTTGTAGATCACGTCGGAATCACCAATTTGGATGAGGCAGTTATGCGAGAAGACGGCGAGATTACGACGACAGTGGTGGCAGCGAGGATCGTGGATGTGATGAGCGTGTATTTATAAAAAGCTCTTTCTAGAATGAAAAGAGACTTTTATTTACACTATGTACAGGAGATTGTTTTTGGTTTTATATAAGAAGGGGCCCTGAAAAGGGCCGTTTGGTGTCGGCCCTGGAAAGAGACTTTTTCTCAAGTCTTTTCTTTCCAGAAGATTCGAGCCTTGGTCTGCGTGCCGCAGTCGACTCTATCGGCCTGGGTCTGCGTGGAGACACTTTGCTGCCGAGGAGTATAAGATGGCGTCGGCGGTCTGTCTCCTTGGAGGTGAAGTCCGTGGTGGAGGAAGGTCGGTCGGAATGANGCGCCAAGGTAGAAATTGTTCTGCCCTCGGGAGTTTTTCTGACCCGGGTTGCTCGGGGTCGCTCGGCGGCCTTGAGAGGACTTTGTGGCGGAATGCCTTTTTCCCTTTTTCTCCACTGGAGAAAAAGTGATCTCTCGGAGAGATCGGTGCTTGTTCCAACTAGATAGCGAGCTGATTGCGCTCTAGCTATCTGGTTAGCTGGATGTCGAAGGGCCGCCGACGGCCGTCTTATCTAACCGTCGGGGCCAATGTTGCTTGCGGGCGAACTAGCGCCGCGGTGCGCCGTACTAGCCGCGCGGCGGCGGGCCGCCGGCTCATGCTTAAGGCCGTCTCACCGCTGCACGGCGTGTTCATAAAGTGGTGTGCACCACAATACTATTTAAACTGTCTATTTTAAGACACCATCATTAAATTTAGTAAAAAAAAAGTTTTAATTCATAATTTTTAGCAAATATTACACCAAGAAACTTACTTTTTTTTGAAAGTAATTGTGCTCCAGACNAAAACGACCCATGTTCTTTCGTTGAGGGTTAAGAATAAGACGCAAACAATTAAGTTATATATAATGCAGTAAAAAAAGTGTTTGTCAAAATTATATTCTACAAAAATGTGTAATATCCGAACAAAATACCTTTTCAAAAAAAGGTAAAAAAAGGCGCCAAGTACGTGCGCAACTCGTATCTCTAGAAAAAGTATTACTATCAAAATCTTCCTTTACAAGATCTATTCTACAAAAAAAATGATATCAATAAGTTATGCCAAGTAAAATCTTTTATACATGGTTACAAAAATATATAAAATATATAAAACTTTGTAAGTTGT